TGACCAGAGTCTGTCATATTGTTACGTAGACCTTCTGTGGGTCCTATCAAAGTCTCCCTCTTGCTCTGTAGGATCCGTCTACTCTCTCTCTGATTCACTTATTTCACTCGACCCCTGCCACACATTATGTGCTACTCTAGGCGTAATTCGTCCACCCCCTGCACCTGGGCGATTAATTAGAGACTAGAGCCTCATACTAAGTCTCATCGTCATACCTTTGCTACATGGACCACGTCTCTTGTAAAACCTACTGTCAGCCAACTAGCCCCAATCGCCGCCTCGTCTATCCTGTCTCTCTAATACAAAGTCTATGACATGCCATGCCCTTATCGGTTGTGTGCCAACCCACAAATGTTGTGGTACTGCTGGCCTTGTTTAGTTTCAATGTTGAACCACAACGTTTGTGGGTTGGCACACAAGAGACTAGGGCATAGCAAGGAAGGATAGAAACAGTGGAATCTAGATCTAGTTGGCTAACAATATTCGTGATTCAAGGATCACGTTTAAGATCAAACACGTCTATTGTTAGCCAAATAGCATTAGCATTTCTTGGTTCTATCTGTAATACCATGTCCATCGCTTCCTACGTCCTAGTATCTTGTGTATTAACCCAAAAATGTCATGGTTCTACTTGTTTTGATTAGGCTGACTGAAGACTTCTCTGCTTCTGATTGTTGCTTTCTTATCCCCCTGCGATCTCTTTTCCTAAAGTTAAGGATATTACCTTGATCCCGTCGTCTTATTTTTACTGATCTTACTGTTGCCTGGTCTTCTCCTACTTTGTTTAGGCAATATGCAAAGTTTTCGCCAATCCTGCCTTCTTCAAGTCTCCTGTTAATTAGATCTCTCTCGGTCAGTATTTCGATAGCCTCTCGGATCGGACCACTTACAGTCAACCTTTCGATCGATTTTCAGTCGATTTCATGCCCCGTTCTTCCAATGTGTTCCGTTATTTCTGATCTTTTTGTATCCATGTTCCTGTGGAGTCTTTGATGTTCCTTGATTCATAGGCCGATTTTTCTTCCTGTTTCACCGATATACTTCTCCTCACAGTTGCCACATTTGATGCGATAAACTCCCGAGCATTAAAGTTTGTCAGTCTTCTCGGTTTGCGTCGGCAGACTGGTGAAAAGTGTTTTCTTCTCCTTTGTTATCACATTGATGTTCCATTACCTTAGTAACGGTCGCAATTGTTGGCTCAATTGTGTTGAGGTCAGGCAAATCCACTTTTGGTTGTCATTCTGATTCCTGATCTGATTTTCATAAAATCCAAGTTGAAATCGGCCCTTTATAATCTCTACATTCTTTTGTATGAATGCCTTGGGGTATCCGTTACTAAGGCAAATCCGTGTCAGTTTGTCCAACTCCTCGTTCCAGAACTCATTGTCCGTTAAATTTAAGTGGTTTGATCTTGTTTTCGCAACTCGATTATATTGGTAGGAAGACTTAAAGGAACACATGTAGTATAGAAGTTGTTTGACCTTGTTTTCGCAACTTGGTCATAATGGTAGGAAGACTTATAGAAACGCACATAAGATAAAAGTTGTTTGACCTTGTTTTCGCAACTCGGTCATGTTGGTAGGAAGACTTAAAGAAACGCACCATCCGGAGTCCATTGTATGCATCATCATTTCCAGAGTAGGACCGTGGACGTGGTACATTCCCAGACGTTTTCGTTGTCCGTTAGTTATTATCTTCTGATGATCAAACTCCTAACTGAAAATTAAGTATTATTCCCCCATATAATTCCTTTTTGTGTAGGAGTGTCCATTTGGAGCGCATGACTTCAATATCCAGAAAGGGTAGTCGTTCATCCTCATCCACCTCCATTCTGAATTCATTGAGAAATTCACTTAGATTTTTCCTTACCGTGTGACCAAAATGCAAAGTAATCATCCAAATATCGCATAATCACTCTTGGTTGCAGTGGTGACTTTTCGAATTCCCTTTCCAACTTGTCCATGTACAGATTTGCCAAAAGAGGTGAGAGTGGAGATCCCATCGGTAGTCTAAATATTTGCTCATTGATAATGCCGTTAAATGTAAAATACGTGGTCCTTACTGTCAGGTTGATCAGTCGTGTTAACGATTCTTTCCGTATCCGTTCTACCTCCAGGATGTCCTCTTCTCTCTCCAATATCTCCAACAAGGCGCTTACCGCCTTCTCGCCTGAGATCTTTGTGTACAAGGATTTTACATCGAAACTCACCAACAGTGCCGATCCTACCGACCCAATTTTCTGGATCCTTTGAGAAAATTCATATTAATTCTCAATGGTATTCAAGAGTCTCTCATTTACTTTCTTGATCTTTAAGCAAATGAATTTCGCTAGTTTATGCATTGCTCCATGCTTGTTGTTGACTATTAGTCTTAGATGATTTCCTTCATTGTA